GAACGTAGTAATTACAGACCGATCTCTCTCCTCACTACTTTATCAAAGATTCTTGAAAAACTGATCTACACTCGAACATTTAATTTTTTCACACGTTGTGGAATTTTGGCGGACTCTCAGTTTGGATTTCGAAAGAAACATTCTACTTCTCATGCTATACTACTTTTTATTAATAAAATTGCGTCTGCTCTTGACGACCGCTGTCATACTGTAGGATTATTTTTGGATTTTTCCAAGGCATTTGACACGATTGATCATAACATTTTGTTTAAAAAACTTCAGCATTATGGTGTCAGGGGTAAGGCGTTGGAGTGGTACAAAAGTTACCTCAGTAGTCGTACACAGTTCGTTTCATTAAATGGGATTGCATCGAGTGTCAAGCCTGTCACGTGCGGTGTTCCTCAGGGATCTCTTTTAGGGCCTCTACTATTCATAACATATATAAATGACTTCAAATTTTCATCCACACTATTGTCATTTATACTATACGCAGATGACTCAAGCATATTTTATTCTCATCAGAATCCTCAAATTCTTGTTGAAACTGTAAATTCGGAACTTGAGAATATTGCACAATGGATTTTTGCGAATAGACTGTCACTGAACTTGGACAAAACTAATTTCATATTATTTAGCAATTCAATCTCCGATTTACCTGGAGATATTTGTTTTAACAATGTTAAAATTAAGAAAGTAAAATCGACCAAGTTTCTTGGCCTGTTTATCGATGATAAAATGTCCTGGAAAATACATACAAATTATTTGTGTTCATTACTATCAAGAAATGCTGGTGTTATATACAAACTGAAACCTATGTTCCCAACATATGTATTGCAAATGTTGTACTCCACTTTAATGTTGCCCTACTTGAACTATGGTATTCTTGCCTGGGGTAGTTCATTGAAACTTCAACTGGACAAAATCCTGGTTGTTCAAAAAAGAGCAATACGAACAATTTGCAATGTACCTATTCGTACTCACTCGAGCCCTCTTTTCTTTAATACTAAAGTACTGAGAGTTCGGGATATTTTTAATTTACAATTAGGCTGCCTCATGTTTCAGCTGAATAACATCAAACTGCCCCAGGCACTATCTTATTTGTTTAAGAAAAGAAATCAAGTCCACGAATATTCTACCCGACAGGCGTTTTCCTATCACCTTCCTAGAACGAGAACAAGCTTTGCTCAAAATACCTTAATTTATACAGGTCCTAAGTTCTGGAATTCTCTCGATTCTGTGATTAAAAGGTCTGTAAGTGTTCATGTATTCAGAAGAAAATTGAAAAGTTATTATTTGAATACATATTGTCATTCCTGATTCTTGACTATTCTTGTCTCCAAACTGTATACTTATTATGTTCATTACAATGAGTACCTATAAACGGTATGACCATACCAACTATGTTTATAATATACTCATATGGAGAACAAACTATATTGTAATATTGTTTCAATAAGCTGCAGATATATTCCCTTCCCTTTTCCTTGTCTTTTGTAGTTTCTGTGAGTATCGGTTCATGTATCCCTGTAATCTCCCTTTCCCTGTTTTAGCGTGTATTTGTATTTTATAAACTTTACTTTAGTTAATTGTGTCATGTTTAGTTTAAGGAGCCTATCCACAACAAGCTCTGCTTTTCCATAGGCTCCGCCACTGTATCTCTTAAGTTAAACTTAATGGACAATATTCTGAATAGTGTGTACCGGTATTGTATGTACATGTATAAAATAATCATTTTATGTTGTTACACTCTTTGTAAAATGAGATATTGTGGAAACCAATAAACTATCTAAACTATCTTCTTTTTTTTTTTTTTTGAGGCGTGTTTATGTTTTAAGTGAGAGAAAGAAAGTCACATGGCAAAACCAGCAGACAAAGACACTGGGTATGTGAAAGAGAAAGAGAGAGAGAGAGGCCAGGATGAAACGAGGGAGAGAGAGAGAGAGAGAGGATGAGAGAAGGGGTAGTCTCTTCAGAAAAGAGATTTAAAAATAATGAGAGAGAGCAAGAGAAAGACAGAGAGAGAGAAACACACACACACAGTGAGACACAGGGAGACAGTAGGCGGGACGAGAGCGTATCATCTGTTGGGCTATAACCCCAAATCTCACTCTCTTTTGCTCTCCATTTTTCTCTATATATTTATATATATATATATATATATCTCTCCACCCCTTCTTTCTCTCTCTCTCTCTCTCTCTCTCTCTCTCTCTTTCTATCTCTCTCTCTCTCTTTCTCTCTCTCTCTTTCTCTTTTCCTCTCTGGGGAAAAGGGGGTAGGTAAACCGTTTGATGAGTTAATAGACAAAAAAACAGTATCGAGAAGGAGGGATAGAGGTTAACCTAAAAGTCAACCTTGCATAGACATCCGCTAGTTACTATAGGTACACACCTTGTTTTTGGAAATACAATGTTTCTTATTTGTGCATCAGCATGCTTTTTAGTATATAAAATGGAAGCAAAAATATATTAAAGAGCGCAGAGATCTACTATACACCACATAGCTCTTCACATTAGCAAATCACCTGCATTTAATTTTCGTTCATAACTACGGTTTTAGAGGCACATACAATGTGTTATCATGTAGTAGTTATGATAATAAAATGAGATTGGCATTTGTCTTCCTTTCTACTTGTGCACTCATATTGTCTAAATATGGGCTAGGCACTAACGTGCATCCCTTGAATCTAAATGTGGAAACTCGTTCATATGACATTCCGTTGCGTGCCTACCTGAAAGCGAACAATGATACTTGCTGGTCTGAACAGATTATCGGATTGGGTAGATGAAAAGAATATCATCACCTTTGACCTTTGACATGTCATGCTTTCACACGGTTAAACATTTTGTAATACTCGGTAAGCTATGAAGGTATGACGTAGTGGTTAGGGACATGCTGTGGTACTGATAGATTCGATACGACATACGGAAATGTATTCGGGCAGATGAGAAGTTATAAGTTTAAAGTCTTTATTTGTATTAGCAATTACACTGCAAACTATACTTGTTTGTCGAATTAGAATTGTGCACCCTGAGCCCCCTCACCAATTCTCTTAATTTTCAAATTAATTCCATTTAATTACACACCAAACAAAATGAAAAATATACACACACCTTTCTTGCTCAAAACATATCAATCTTTTTTTTCTTGTTTTAAATATTATTTTTAGGAGGCCCCTGCGATTTAAAGGTGTTTGCTAAAATGAAAAGAAAAATAAATCTGAAACATTGTGTATTATGAAAGAATCTTTCGAATTAACAAAGTGTGCTAATTAGCTTGTGTGGTAGCGGCAACTAACTACAAAACTAAGCATGGTGTACTCTATTATATTAAACAGAGGGCTAAAATAAACGCCCCTTGACGAGTATTAGTATTTGGTTAATTAAATTTCATGGAAACCTTAAACTACCTTGAGTTTGATGACTTAAGAAGGATATTTAGATTATCTACATGTTGGTATCAATTTAAACGGAATTGGGATTATTTGACGTCAAAAATTTAAGTGAAAAACACGTTTTTTTGTGTTGTTGTTGGGGGGGGGGGAGTATTCTCGAAATATCATTTTGTTAATTAATCCCGATTCCATTGAAACTGGTATCATTTTTGTTGTCTTCATATGACACAAAACTCATGGTAGTTTAAGATTTCCATAAAAATGTTCTTGACCAAATACTATTATTTATCAAAAAGGCCGTGTTTTAGGACGCCCCTCAGATTTACGAGTGTTAGCCACCGATTAAGAAAAAGAAATCCTCTAAAATATATAAACAGGCATCGAACGTTAGCGAAGTTATCATGCCTGTCTCCTATATTGGTTGACTTTAGTGCTGAGTTTAGAAAGGACGCGCTACAATACAAATGTAATGTACCCATATGGTACGTATTATTCTACAAGACAAAGCAGTGCGTGTTATCTGTAACAAGTCCTGGAGATACCATACTGATGTTTTATTCATCGAAAATAATTTATTTAACATAAAAGATATATATCGTTAGAACCTCGGTAAGTTTATGTACCAGTAACATGATAATACGCTCCCCCTAATCTTTAATGTAATATTCATCAAAATTAAACTCTACACAAATACCCCACACCCCAATCTGATAAATTCCATCTGCCATTTATTAGAACTATACTCGCCAAATCCATATTCACTTACGCAGGCCTGAAGCTTTGGACTATTCTTGATGATAGCATCAGGAATGCCCCTAGTTTAAATTATTTAAATTTAAATTCAAAAATCTCTTATACGTAAGTATCAATTGTCATCTCTCCCTCATTCAAAATATTTTACTCAATAATATACTCTATTAGATCATCATTTATGTTGTACTACCATCCGTATTCTGTTCGGTCCGTGTTTTGTGTAGCAAGAGCCCTAACCTCTCTCGTTCCTTATCTTCCTTCTTTCCCTGTCACTTTCACTCATTTTATTCTGTCTATCCAGTTTATGTATCTGTCCGCTCGCTTATAATTGATATACTATTTTTGCACATATAACTTATAGGGAGCTGCAATGTACTAGCCTATCTTTTTAGCAGTCCCCTCCACGGCTAACTTGTTTTATATGCCTGCTGTACACTGGGGACCAATTACAATTACAAATACATTTTAAAGTGTTATTTGTTTACTATGTACAATGCAATTCCATATATTTCATCTCATTTTGTTGAAAATGGAAATAAGCGAAATAAATTAAATTAATCCTTAATCGCCTTACTCAATATGAATATATCAGTCATAATATACTCACGAGCAACATGAGTAGAAAGCAGAATAATAAAGAAAAGATAATATGATATGCTTGATATTGTATTCTTTGTTTATGCCTTCCTATTTATTTTGTCTCCACCCCTCGTACATAATTATCTTTGTATCTCTGTTTTTCCTGATCCGCTTTTCTATTTCTTCTATGTTTTCTATGTCTCCTCAAGTAATTTCTCTAATTAAATTTGTATTATTGTTAACAATGCAGGTTACTTGCTAACATCTGCTTTTCATCATGGCGTCCAAGTTCCCAGAAGAAGGAGATGAAAAGGTCAAGCTACGCCCTAGGAGAGGTCATGACATGACATGGTCATGTGACAAACACGGGGAGCCAATCAAATTCTACTGCAAAGAAGACAACATACCCGTTTGTCATCCATGCGCTACCAAAGAGCATTGCCACAAACCATGTGAGCTAGACGACATCGAGGATGTCATCTTGGAGAGGAGGAGGGAACTGGATGACAAGCAGCAAGAGATAGAGGAAATGAAGAAACAACTGAAAACGCTCGACTCTAAACTAGAGTCCACTGCAACCTCTGCAAGTAACCATTTCCAATCAGTCAACGATGATATTAAGGTGGCGTTCGACGACAAATTAAAGATTGTGAAAGACAAGGAGAAACGATCGATTCGTTCGATCGACGAGGAGGCGGATGAAGAAATACAAATAATTAATGAAAAGAGGGAAAGACGGATCAAATTATGTCACGAAGAAGCAGAACAGCAACAACTAACCATCAAAGAAAGCCAGGCAAAAGTCGAATCAGAGACAAAGGCAATCAGCGAGGTGGTTGCTAAACAGATTAAAGAACTCACAAGTAAGAATCAGCATGCAATCAGCACATTGGATAATATTGATTCCAAGATCAAGCGAATACAAAAAGATGACAAAACATTGGTGAATGAAGCTCCTCAAGTACTTGCATCCCTAGATGATAATACAAGTTCAAGTGTGCATCAAGATGATTCCGATTGTCTTGACCAAATACAGCGTGAAGTTCAGAAAGTGAAGTTTGTCGAGGGTAAAGTAGGTAGGGAAAACTACGGGAGAATCGATGGCTATATCGGTAAATGGGAGCTTGTCAAGTCAATCCACATTCCATCGATCGTTAAATCACCTTTAGTGCGTGGTTTGATCAGTGATAATGAGATATGTGTGCGGGACGTAGATAACAATGCTACTTATGTAACAACTATTAGCACTGAACACACAGAGAAATTCACTGAAGGAGATAGTAAGGTGAGCATTACATCATGCGCCCCCATATACAGTGAGGTGATAGTATGTGGTAAGGAGAGACGAGACTGCACGGGTGACAGCTTGGATGGATGCATCACTCTCTATGACAGACAATGGAAGGTGATTAGAGACATCAGCATACCGATGAATAACCGCTCTGATGTAACTGATATTACTTGTGTGGACGTTGATGTTGACAGTGATGGGATGATCCTCGCTGCTCAGTACGATGCGTCTAATATCTACGTCATCAACCCTGATGATGGTAAGATACTAAACACTGTTACAATGCAGGGCAAGGTGGTGAGGGGTGGGATACAAGCCTTGTCATCAGGTGATATCGTTGTGGAGACAGAGCAGGATGAATTCACTGTCATTTCACGATCAGGGGAACAGAAGGCTGTCATACACTGTGATGAGGGGTGTGGGTCATGGTATCGAGTTGACAAACTGACAGACACACTCTACGTCAAATACACGGATATAGAGCTTGATATATACGCGGTTGATCAGGTGTCATGTGATGGCATCATCCAGGCAAGGAGGATCGTGGAATACAAGGGATCAGGTCGAGACTGCATTAACCCATTCCTCGTAACTCCTTCTGGCAACCTTGTAGCTTGTAACGGAGACACATTTTTTGTGTACAAGAAGAGTTTCATCGTGTAAAGCAATACAGATATCAAACTTTCCTTGATTTCTCCCACTTGTAATTAACCCTTATGTTGACTGTGGGCTCATTCGATTCTCATATACCTTATTTGAGAAAGTATACTTAATGTTTAATTGTAAATTCAATTCTGAGGAACAGTTTTTAAATAAAATAATAAGCAGAATAACCCCCCCCCCCCCCCCCCCCAGAACAAGGGACTGTTTAAGTAAGTGTTATCTCGACCAGTAATATTTCAATTTATCTTTGTAAACGTATCAACCCCTTCTCTGTTGTTTGGTGTCAGTGTTCTGTTCTCTCAGTATTTACGTGTTTTTGTATCTGTACTTGTCCACATGTAAAACTGTTGTTACTGTGTATTCATGCAGGACGCCTCTATCGCCCAATTGTTTGCTTATTGCGACAAACCGAAAATGCAATGTTATATTGAGATTTTGACTGTACTTCATTGGCCGAGTTAGCTGATATGCCATTCTTTTCTTTAAAGTAGCTTGGCGAAGAAATTTCACATAATCACTCAAAATGGGCAAATTATACATGTCCGGATAGCGTAGACCAATATGAAGACACACATTCTGCTCTAAAGTCTTGTAAATATAAATGAAATGCGGTAAGAAGCTTTTTCCAAGAACCTTCTCAGAACTTCAATTCCTGGCTTGAACATTTTGTTCGCGCAGTAGGCCGATTATGACGTCCCTGGTTGGGCACGATCGCAATTCTAGGCCTCAAGCTCGCCTCTCGCACAGCTCGCGTGCGGTATTTTGCATAACTATACGTATACATTATCCATTATCCATTATCTTTGCATGCTTCATATCCTAACCAGAAAGTGGAATAACAATCTCTAGAAATCATGTAATTAAATGATATTAAGCAAGTTTATGTAATATAATACGAGGGGTGTAATTCTATTTGTCCAAATACCCTTCCGTTCTGTGTAATTTGCTGAGATCTTTTGTATTTGTTCGGTCATCATGGCGTGATAGTGATTGCTGTTGATTATATACGGAGACCATGATCGCGAGCGTCCTCTTGCATTTGTATGATGTCCTGCAGCTGCAGTTCTTTATTAATGGTGCATATATGTAATTGATTTTCGCCAAATATAATCTCACATCTAATCATCTTTGTTTTACTATCCGTGAAATTTGCCAAAAAGCCCCACACATCCCGAAAAATTAGAAAATGTCTCGCCAGGTCATGACAGATCAATCGCCAGTTGAGCGGGGTCGGGGGAGCTGAGCGGCAGCTGGCAGCTCGGCCAGCTCGCGCTGATATGCTATCACTTGACCTGCACCAGCATCGACGCCGTCTTCTCCGAATTGTTCTCTTTCTTCCATCTCTCCTACATCCCCATCATCATCATCATCACTATCACTACCAGTAACACTGTTTTGGAGCTGTGCTCATCAACTTCGAATTCTAAATCGAGTAAAACCTCTTCTTCGAGCTCGGACATTTTGATCAGATATTTAGCGTTCGAGTGGCGTTTGTATACGTATAATGCATGCAGGCGAGAGTTGTGTGAGAGCTTGAGGATCGCACTCTCGCTCATGTGCCCAACCTCCTACGTCACAAATCGTACGCCACAATAGCGGGCCGATCAAGGGCGGAATAATCGGGTAGTAATTTCACCACTTTTAAAAGCAGATAAGTCATATCTGTAACAATTTTTGAAAACTGAATATAAACCATTAGAAAGATTGTAACATTAAAGATAAACTTGAGTACAGGTAATGCGATTGCATTATGAAAGAAAAGGTGTGGAATGGATCAGAAAAGTTGATCATATAGCATGTAAGTAATGGTGTGTAATGCAAGGATCTAGAGTCATCAAAATCATCATAAATTTGGCAGAGTCTTGGTAAAGTAACAATCACTTAATACACATATAGATGTATATGGGACAACACACATGGTATCGGGGCTAGTACTACCCTGATTTCCTTATCTTTCTATGCTCATTACTCAGCCAGTATACATTTTCTTCCAAAATTGTTTGGCACATGACATATATTTGTAATCTTGAACATTCAGTGTAAGTTTCGTTAGATTCTGTGAGAATTCATTTTATTTTTTTACCAGAACTCAAGTTTATCTTTAACTTTGCAATGATACCAACAGTATTAAGGTTAAAAGCCTTTTGAAACCTTCGCTCAGCTACTTTACATGATGATGACCTTTTTTATTCAAGTTTCAAGTTTCAAGAGTTTATTTGTTTCACATTTCACAAACCAAAAATCACATAATTGACAAAACGAGAACATTATTTTATTAATTCTTTGAAAAAACGTCGAAATCAATTTGTTCTGGTTCTGTTCTGGTGGGCTACTGCATAAACACCTCAGCTGGGATGTAACATGCAGACGCAGTTGACTGAGCATAGTATTCTTCATTTCTGAATTGGGCTCTAGCAATTATTGCCCCCATGTTGAGCTTTGGTAAGTTTATTTAAAGGCTACAAGGGTGGGGGTATTTCTAACATGGGTCGGGAGAACGTTCCATTCGGGGAATTTCCTAGGATATAGAGAGTGTTTATAGCAGTCCTTTTACAGCGGGTAACTTCTTGAATGATACTGAAGAGCGTATTCTTGTAGATACCCCTACTCCAGATGATCTGTTTTGGTAGTGGTCAGTATCAACGGCAATTAAGTTGTGGATGGATTTGTAGAGGAAAGTCAACCTCTGTGCTGCTCTTCTGCGCTCCAATGGTGGTCATTTCAGATAGGAGATCATCTTAGAGACGCTGCTCCGGCGTTCATGACGGTTCAAGACGAATTTTGTTGAACTCTGTCGAGTTGTTTTATGTATTTCTTCTGATAAGGGTCCCAAAATGAGGCACAGTACTCAAGTCGTGGCCTGACGAGAGTTTTATAGGAAACTACTTTTACCTTGGGAGAGCAGCTAAAGAGGTTTCTCCGAAATAATCCAAGCATCCGATTTTCCCTTGATGTAACGCTTTGGATGTGCCCAGCTGAGTTTACTGTCAAGTTCTACCCCAAAATATGCGTGCTCTAGTACGACTTCCAAAACGGAATCCCCCATTCGATACTGTGTTTCGATTATCTTGTTTTTGTGAGTACCATGCAATGCATAACATTTTGTTTTGTTGAAATTCATTTTCCAGCGTTGTTCCCAAACAACCAGGCGATTGGTGTCTCTCTGTAGATCTACACTATCTTGGTTGCTCTTTATCTGCCTATACATGATGCAATCGTCGGCAAAAAGTCGGACGTTATTCCGTCAGATATGTCCTTTATGTACATGAGAAACAGCGAAGGGCATAATACAGTGCCCTGCGGTACTCCTGACGTGACGTGTATGGAAGATGAGGAGGCACCATCAAGAACAACTTGTTGAGATCTTTTTGTGAGGAAGTTTTTAATCCATACGTGCAACGATCCTTGGATTCCGGCATGATGAAGTTTTAGGGGGAGTTTCTCATGTGGGACCATATCAAATGTCCATGATAATGATGTCGACTTGGCTTTATTCATTCAACATCTTGGCAAGATCATTGACGGTCAAGGCTAGCTGGGTCTCACATGAGTGACCCCTACGGAAGCCATGCTGTTTGTCGTTCAGGTAATCGATTTCCTCTAGGTGGGGCATTACGCTATGTTCCAAAATCTTGCATGGGATCGAGGTCAACGACACAGAACGGTAGTTAGCTAGTTCCGAACGATTACCTTTCTTGTACAGGGGAGTGACATTTGCTCGTAACCAGTCTCTTGAAAGTTCACCAGTAGATATCGATTTGTGATAAATAATGGTTAAGATAGGTGCAATGCTACTGGTACATTCTTTAAGAATGTTTGGAACAGACGCCTTCCGTGTATCAAGTCCTCGCAGAAGTTTCTCTACACCCTGAACCGTCACATTAATGGCCGGCATGGCTTTACATGTAGATCCTGGTAGTACACTTGGTATGTTTTCACGATCCTCCCTTGTGAAGACGCATTCAAATTGATCTTTTAATGCATTTGCTTTTTCACTTACAAATGGTGCTGCTATCCCGTCCCTTGTGTTTAAGGGTGCTACCCCTGAAAAGTTTTGTCTAGAGTTCTTGATGAAGCGCCAAAAGGGTTTGGTATCACCAGATTCCAGACTCTCCCCGACGTTGTAGATGAAAGGAAAGTTGACCAAGCTTTACGGATACTACGATCAGTTGCCCGACGAAATGATTTATATTCATTCCAGTGTTGTTGGTGATTCGTCTTCTTAGCTTCATCATACATCCGTTATTTCCGACGAATCATTCTTACATGAGACCCCTTTAACCATGGTAACTGAATGCTGTTTTTAGACAATTTATTCGGAATGTTCTCTTCGATTGAGGAGAGAAGAACGTTTTTGAAGTTATCCCATATGTCATCTACACTAGAGCGTGTAATGATATCACCATTAAAGGGAATTTGCAAAGTCCTGAATATCATTGTTGATCTGTTCAAATTTTCCCTTGTTATACAAGTACCATTTCCTACGGGGGGGGGGGGGGGGCTTTGACCCTTTGTGGAGTGAGTAGTGCATCAATCAAAACAATATCATGATCACCCAGTCCTGGCAACATATCTATATTCTGAACAAAAGTTTATGTGTTCGTAAATACTAAGTCGAAAATATTTTCATTCCTTGTTGGTTCATTTACCATTTGTCTGAGATTTAGTTCTGTTGCTAATTCTAGCATTTGCTTACTAACTGCCGGATACCTGCCTCCCGGTACGAAGCAGTTTTTTTGCCCAATCTACATCTGGAAAATTAAAATCTCCTGAAAACCAAATGTGACTGTTAAGGGGGATTCTGTGAAGGATCTGCTAGAGTTCCTCAATACATTGCTGGTCTTTATTTGTGTTACTGCTATTAGGTCTGTAAACAACCCCAAAATATGTAGCTTGACTACCTTTCATGTGGATACTTGCAAATAGCGTTTCACAAGACTGGGAGCAGAGATTTGATTCTTCTTTACTAATTAAGTCATCTCTAATAGCTAGAAGAACAC